GGCCTCATTGAATCTTAAAGAAGACAGAGAAATTGGATTATAAATTTGGAGTTGTGAGTGACAACTGACGTATTGTTAAACCTGTTTTGGCATGAGGTGTACACTTGTTTAATTTTTGAACCGCGTCAAACCTTAACCTGCGTATTTTATTCATTGTCCGTTCCGAAGTCTCTGCTTTATCTATTTTTCTTGATAAAAAATTGATAAAGGAATTTTACTTTGCTCTACGGTTTAATATGAAACAGTAGGGAAACGGTTCCACGACACCCGTAGCTTACAACAAAAACCGGTTTAATAATCTGAAAAATGTATCCGAAGATTCAGTAGCATTTGATCCACCCGTAGCAGCCACTATTTTGCATCTGTGATAGAAACTTTGGTTCTCACTGAGCCATCCGGTCCCCTTGTCTACATTTTGAGGTAACTAAATATTGTGTTTAACTTTTAATATAAATAATAAATATAGAGTGTTGAGGTTTAACATTTTTAAAACCAATCCGATATAAATGATATTATTGATACATTGATTGATGATCTAATATTATCATGTCATCATGTTCAACTTTATGATGAAACTGATTGTGGGAAAATATTTTAAAAATAATATGAGGAACACCTGTATGATATCAGGATATCATATTAGTTCCTACCTCAACAGGAGGTCATGTATTTTGTGCTCATACATAGCTTGTGTCGCCTCACTAGCATAAGTTTCATCATAGTTTTTCATACGTCGACTAATAACTAATTTGAATAGAAGTAACACATATCCCGTAGTCTACCATACAATATAAATGTGTTTTTATATCTAAAGAATAAGATATTAACGTATACCCCTGTTTTCAAACGTCAATCTTTTCAGACGAATTCTCATTTTCTATGTGTTAGATTTATTATAGTTGTTAAGGATCGTACAAAATAATATTGCCGAGCCCCATTAAATTAAATGACTTTTTGTATAGTATACATCAGTTTATGGTTAGAAACAAGACGGGGGTTCTTATATTTAATGTCTTTATATTGTTATAAAACGATATTTGAGAAACTGAGCTAAGATAGAATGAATAGTAATTTGGATAATGAGATTTTGATAGAAGTTTTCTGCCTGAATTTTTTCAATAGAAACAAATCTGTTTAAACAAGTATACAGAGTAACAAGAACTTGAGCGAGATCAGACAAATATAAATTTTGTGAAATAAAAAACACCAGCAGTCGCATAGTTCACTATATACTAAAGACAAAGATCTTTCTTTGCAGTTTTATAGGAGGGAGAAAGTGCCAAATCCAAATAACGTTGCATTTCTAGTCAACATTAAAGATTTTGTCATGCCATTGTCATGATGGCATATTATTCTGGGTTTGATGAAGTCGTGTTGTACGAAAAAATAGTTTTCGACTCCTTCAAAACTACAACCTCGCCCATGGAAAATGAAAAAAAGGACACTGATACCATAACAAAGCATTGTTTGCTTCAGCTTTACTCCGTCTCACTAATTAAATCAAGATTGTTTAAAAGTCATCACACTGTAAGACACTTTGCATTTGAAATGTGAGGGATCTTCAATAGTATTTACCTATTGATTGTTAACCGATCAACCGTATAATAGGTAGAATTATAGTACGATTAGTTGATATGTTGAGGACACATCATAATGCTGTTTTTATCAACAGAAATCAGAACAATATCACTTTGTTATGTAGATTTACGTAAGATATCTGTTATGTATTTGAAATGAATTAATTATGAATTATAATTATAAATGAATTATATGAACATTGCAAATGATTTTGAGCAGATTTCGATAAGGAAGTATTTTGGATGACATTATTGCCAACTATGAAGGGATTTAGAATGTTAATTTTAGATAGGGTCATCGATAAATAGATTGCAGGTAGATATATACTTTATACTATTTAGATATCACAGACAGTAGATTCTAGATAGGACAACGAGTAGATTCCAGACGGGACAACCAAGAGTATAGATTATATATGGGCAACATAAGGTACCATAATCAGGACTAACAAGTAAGTCCTTTTTTGGGACAACCAAGAGATAATTTTATGGGACAACCAAACGATACAACCGATAGATGCTTTAATGGTACAACCAGTAGATTTCAGATGGGACAACAAGTAGATATTAGTTTGGACAACCAACAAATTATAGATCTAACAAGTAGTAGATACTATTATGTGACAACAAATGGGAACTTTAATTGGGCAACCATTAGGTTGGATTTGGGAAAACAAATAGTTAACTAGTAGAATATAGAAGCGACATTAAAATTAATGCAGTTGGTAAGTTTTAGATGAAACATATCTAGATGGGAGGTTCGGTAAATTCTGGAATGTACAATCGTACTATTGTGTAAGACACCATGAAATGTACATCTGGAAATGTAAGGTATTAACAACAAAAATAAGAATGGATTTTGTCGTATTAAAATTATTGAAAGGAACTGGTTAACAGAAAGAATATGAGGGTTATCTTATGTCTGACTTGACAAAAGGTATCTTAATAAAACATCCTTGAGGCAAGCACTATATGTTTAGATTACTTGTATTTATCTTTTAATTATAGTGCGAATTATATTTACACTATAAAATACTTGTTTCTTTAGTTAAAAAAAGAATTTCATGGATTATATATTTCTTTAAGCCTTGATAGTTTAATTATAGCACTTATCTTTATGTGTACATAAATTATTTCAGCACCATTTAAAATTTTCCGCGACAAGCCTTTCTTGAATGTCGTGTTCTTAACATCCATGATACGTTTCAGTGATAATATTTTCTATGCCAGAAGGAAGAAATTCAGCTTCAATCAAAGAGTTTTTTTTATCCATGAGATATTTAAGATATGGAAGATTCTTTCTCTTCGAGTTCATTTTTGAATTTATAAAAAATTAATCATTGTTCTTCGTTAATTCATTCAACTTCATCAATTGTTTCCGATCTTTTAATTGCAATTTCATTCATATATATTTTTTTTAAATATCTATACACTATTGTTTTCGATATTTGTTTTTGTTTCACAACTTACACAATTGTTTTGTATTTTTTAATTCACAACTTACACAATTGTTTTTCTTTTTTCTGTTTTACATATATAACAACTTACAACTTTAACAATGGTAATATATTGTTTTCACAATTTACAAAATATTGTTTTTATTTGTTGTTCCACAACTTACACATTTGATTTGATTTGATGGTCCATATATTGTTTAATAGCTTATCTATTTTTCATCATAATTTACGCCAGTTATTTGTTTCAAAACTTACATAATTGGTTTTGTTACTGGTTACACAATATTGTTTTGAGTATTTGTTCTATTACATACTAATTTTGTTTTATCATCGTTTCATTAATCTAATAACATATTTCATATTATTTGCATAAGGTTTTTTTTTGATAAAGTTTGTCATGTAATGTATATTAATATATTAATTCTTCAAAAGTCTTTGTAATTTAATTGTTTGTTCTAAAATTTAAAAAAAGTATATATAACTTGATTTAAACCTTTTTAATTTTGTCTTCAGTACATACTGTTTGCTATGTACGTTTTCAAAAAGTGAAATATTATATCAGATAGAGATAACAAAGATACATCTTTCGCCGCATTTGCCACAATTGCAGGTAAGAAAAAATACAAATTAAGAATAATTTGAGATACGATTGCTTCCTAACCATTGTAATATTATTATACGTAATACTTCCTCTTCTGTAATTCTGTATATTCAATTTTAGTTGCCGTCAACAGTTTTCAACCTGCAAACTCCTTTCATATGATATATACCTAGTATGGCTACAACTAAATTTAAATTTCTTAACCTTAAGGTAAAATTTTTCAAAAGGTATGGAAACGCACGTTTAACCTAAAAAAATATCACGGCTGGCAACGACTCAGTTTCCTAAAATGTGTGAAGGGGCTTCAGATCGACAAATGTAAAATAAATACCCATTACTAAAATCATCCAATGCAAAGGTGAACATTGCCAAAATGCAAATACTTTGTAAGTACTTTGCACACGAATCTTACTTTGGAATATGTGTTGGCAACATTACATAGCATCAGATGTTATTTCTTCATTTACATCTCTTGACAAGCCGAGAAAACATACAGCACAAAGCTTTCAAACTTAATATTATCTTTATATAGAAATATTATAAATAACAAAAAATAAATTAAATTAAAATTTTATTTTATATTTTTCATATATACAAACAAATACACATGTACAAAAATTGTACAAAAACAATAACAAAAGGCACAATATTGTGTATATATATATTTTCTACGAAATATAATTACATGTTTGTATAATTCTCATTCGTGTGAAAGTTTACTTTTACTATCTGTCTATCTTATTATCCTCAAATTAATTCAAATTGATCAGAAATATATACCATAGGGTTTTTTTTCTCCTATCACGAAGACAATCAATTGTAATTATTGTGTTTGTCACTATAGCATATCCTAAAACGCATTTCGAAACTTATAAGAAATTGAGATGTCTATCTGACACATATCATACATAATAAAACTTTGGAAGTTTTTAGAGAGTTTTCCACATACTCTTACGATCCAGGGACACAGTTTTATTTCCGAATAATTGTATGAGATGGTAATGGGTGAAGATGGGGTAATTTATGTGTAAATGCTGGAGTAAAGGTGGGTCTGGTAGCTGAAACTACTGTACATTGAGAGCAGGCACATGGTGTGGTAAATCGTGGAATCATCGGCGATCGTTGATCAAAATGTAATGGTGGTGAGACTGAGGTTGGTTCTTTGGATGAAGGTTGTAATGATGATAAATCGTGATGTGTTGATGTGGTAATATGGTGAGTTGGTGATGGTAATTGTGGTAAACCAGGAACCAGTGGTATTTGTCCATGTGCAAAATGTGGAACATGTGGAAGAGATGAGGTCGCACGTGCCGGATGATTGGAGTAAACGTCACTGACAAGTTTTTTCATTTCTTCCAAAGAACTGCTTAGCATTAAGATATAGTTTTTAGCCAATAACAGAGTTGCTATTTTAGAAAGTTTTCTAACACTGGGACCATTAGCATACGGCATCACGTCCCTTAATCCGTCTAAAGCCGTATTTAAATCGTGCATTCTTCTCCGTTCACGACCATTCACTTTTAATCGCAATAACTGTAATTCTTCTTCACTCATATTTTCTTCCAACTCAGTTGTCGATCGCCTTTTTGATAAACATTTGCGTTTATATGGAGTCGATCGCCCTTGAGAACTTCCGTCAGAATCGCTTCCATCAACTTTAATAGTTTGATCACTTTCACTGGAATATTCCTTATTCTTTGGTGCCTTAGATACATCCATGTTAATTCCGAACATCAAATTAGATCATGCGCTAAACCGCAGAATGACCAAACCGCAACGATTGTCTTATCACTAAAACCCTACTGTCAAATTTTAAATGGTGTCGTTACAAGATTTTTTCAGATTTAAATGTTATTGATACAACACTCCTTATAAGTCTTGAGTAGGGGACGTCTTCTGTCTGTCAACTGAATGGGCGGATCGTTTCTTTTAAGCGACTCAAGGAACCCTACTGTGTCCGTCCAATCATCCCTTATATTTCCCTTGCAGCTGGTGAGAGTAAAGTCGTTTCTTTAACAATACATTTCTCGCGTAAACTAATGAGATTGACGACTTGATCGCCAGTCAAATATAGTGAAGAGTTTAATTATGTTAAAGGTCTTTAATTTTTACCCCATTGAACAAAATGTATGCAGCAAAACCTCATATTACTTAATGTAGCTTACTTTTGATGTGGTTTTACGAAATCCATATTTAATAGATATAATGATTAAGGAAGGGAAATAATGTTATCGTCAGAAAAATTATAGAAAATTGAATAATTTTAAGAGTTTTTTGGGGGTAGTTGAACCGGGGACAGTGGCGTTTCAATGAATGGTGTAGCGGCCTTGGATTTGTCGAAAGGGCAAACAACGCAAATCGTAAGAACCCATATGATAAAAAACTTGAAACGGTTTACTAAGACTAAGCTTTCTCAACCACCCGGAAGTACTTGGTTCCAATAAGACAATTTTTCATGCTTCAGACACTGTCGCTTCACATTTCTATTACAGACAAATATATTCGGTTTATGCTATGAGACACACCCCTTTATGATGCAGAGAACCATATTGGTACAATGGCAGTTTTCTGTTGCTACAAATAGGGTTCCATCCTGGCAAAGATCCTATTTTCTGAAACATAATTTCTCCCGTTGTGTTGCAGGTGAATGGTCTAACTTTAGAGTTAGTGCTGTAGGTGAAAGTACTAACTTTAGAGTTAGTGTTGAAGGTGGGGACTAACTTAAGAGTTACTGTTGCAGGTGAAAGGTCTAACTTTAGAAAGGTGTGTTATGGATCAGGTTGGATAAGCACACACTGTAAACTGTGCAAACTTCTATTTAATTTCGTTTTTCGGCAAATCGTTAAAAATACAATTTATACCAACACATAAATATGAATAGATTTACAATTTTATCCCACTCTGAATTGGTTTACGTTTATCAACTGATATGATGCATATGTTGTAGTCAATATCACAGCATACTAGTATGAAGGATTAGTGATCAAGCACACCATTCCTGAGATTTTCGTTGATACATTTTTCATACATAAAACCCATGCACAGAGCGATATAGTCCTCTAAATTTTGCAGCAAATACATCTTAACTGCAGCTACCCAATTCATTAATTATCTTTTACAGGCCGAAATTAACACCAACTTTCATTATTGCCCTTCAAAATGCAAAAAAGATGCGAAGTGACAATAGTCTTGACTTCATCTTAGCTCAAAATGCAAAATAAGCAGATGCAGGAAAACCAGACATAAGACTTAGATTCCGAGTAATGAAACAGACTATATCTCCTAATTTTACAGTCAAAATAACCTAACTTATGTTCCTACACTAATCCATAATCAGCAATTACAATCATTTTTTTCAGCTGAACCCTCAGCAAGTTTCTTAGCTTTAGCAAAATATTTCTTAGTCATTTCAGGGTCTTTTTCGACTCCACCATCTCCATTTTTATAGAAAACACCAAGATTTATGCATCCTCTTGGACTTCCTAAATCACACAATTTCTCAGCACATTTGAATGCTTTGCTCATGTCTTTTTTAATATTTTGATAGCCATGAAAATAAAACTCCAATAACAGCTCACAACTTGGTATAAAACTTTTAGAACAGGCTAATTCCAAATGTTCAATTCCCTTGTCAGTGTTGTTGAAATTTTTGTCTGGCGAAGCTGCAGCCACTGCTCCAACATTATGACATCCAGGTAAATAGTCTAGTTGACAGGATTGCTCAAACTTAGTCAGTGCTTCTTCCTCATTCTTTTCTACACCACCCTGACCATTCATCAAATACTCTGCATATTGAAAACAGCTTTTGCCATATCTATTTTGATCACAGTTATATTTGAATACTTTGCCAGCCTTTTCAAAGTCTCTAAAGATTTCTAAATATTGACCTAATCGCTGGCATTCATCAGGGTTGTTTTGCTTGTAACATTCAAATCGTAACTGCTGGCCTCTTTCAGTTGCACTTTCTTTAGTTCCCATTGTCTTTCAATAGAAGCCTAAAATAGAATTTCAGATCAAACATATATTTGCATATAACTTCTTTAAAGATAAATGTGCCAGTGCCTTTTATTGAATAGTAACTTGTTACTTTCAATTACCCAGGAATAGCTGAGCAGTAGGTTAGGTAGCAAGTTGGATTATCGTCTGCAAGGTGATTAGGTGCTGTGGATTCAAATCCTCCTCAAGGTAAGAAAAATTCTGATTCCTGTGACTGTGCTTTCGAGAGTCGGCTCTCACCCCCTAATACCTAATCTCAACTATTCAGTTACCTATATGACTTTAGTATTACTAGTAGTTATGATTTTGACCTTTCTATTTGTTACTCTTTCATAACTAATTCTTATGTAATTTATGTCTTCATTTGTATATTCCATGCTTAATAATTGTAGCAAGACAAAGACATTTAATAAGTATAGGTATACTAAGAACAAAAATGAAAATTCGAATCTTGCCGAAAGAAAAACGGAATTTTTAGTAAAAGTCAGCCCATAATGTAAAAAAATAAAGGTTAGGCTTACTTTCAGTTTTCAACAACCGGAAAAATCTTTAATGCTGGAGATACGTAAGGTATTGAGAATTTCAGATGGAAGCTTTCTATTGGTCGATATATTTAAATCCACCAATCACAATTCTTTATTTGAGACAGGAACAGGAAGCTTATGACATGTGTTATAAAATTTTGTAAACAAACATGAACCAAAATTAACAACAATTTACCATCTTTCTCGACAATTAGCTTTGAAAATGACAGTAACCTGTTCGTCTTGTGATAAGAATGCTATTCTTAAAAGACCAAAAACTGTGAGTTGATTTACTAGATTACTGTGTGCTATATTGTAGTTCAATTTAGATTGAAAAATTTGACTACAATGTGAATAGCAATCTTTCACACAATATTTCAGTTTTGGCTAGGCCTAATCATCTTCAAGTCAATTTTTATTAGCAATTTCAAATGTTCCAGTTGTAGGCTCCAGATAGATCTAGCCAATATTAGTTCCTAAAGGTTATAGAGACCTCTGAGAGTTGCCATATTATGTTTCAGCATAAAAATATGTGCATGTTATAAATGTGAGCAGATTTCAAATAACACCAATCAATGCTTACAAAAGGAATAAAAATCTGAGTAATTTTCTCGTCAATGGTAGATTAGATCCCCTTTCATTAACTCCCCGAAACAATCGCTTTGCATTTCTGAATTATTTGTTTATCTTGTAAATCTCTCCAGAAGTAAGTAATTTCCTATCAAATTGATGTATTCCAATGCTAAAATTCACAGTCCCTACTTGTGACCTTTGCCAGTGCTTCTATAAGAGAGTATCTCTTATAAAACCTTATACCAATAGGCCTACAACCTAGCAGTCAAAAATTCGATCTGCTCTAATGTACCGGTACTCGCTTTCACAATGTACATTAAAACGTCCAGTTGATTCATTTTTATTCTTAAATTTTTTTAGTTTTTGTTCTGTAATTACTTCTTCAAGTTTGTGTGGATATGCATTTTCTATTAATTTTATGACCCATTTATGAAATTTGAAACATACAAATGTATGGTTTAATGGAACTATTATATTGGGTCAGATAATGAGCAACTATCTTATATTTCGACTTGAAGAGAATTCTCAGGAAGGGTCTTTCCTTTGAGGCAAATGAGGCAAAAAAGGGGGCTAGAATGAAGTTTGGGGGAACGATTTTAAAAATTTATTGTCTTAGTGATTTATGCCTCCTTGAATTTTTCAGACCCCCACATTTAAAACAAACATGTTTCTGGGACTATTATGATAGCCAGGGACGACAAAATAAGCAATATTATACTGCGAGGGAAGCATCTTTAAGAATTTGCTGTTTTTGGAATAAAATTGTTCATTGATTTGGCTTTATTTTGTAAATATTTCCTGACCCTTGCATTTGAAACATGCATTTATGGTTACTTGGGACTGCTATAATAGGGAAAGATTACGAAATAAGCAATATTATACTGCAACTGGGAATGGAGATTCTGTGGATGGGTCTTCCTTGGGGCAAATGCGAGACAGAAAGGGATGTAGAATTTGCAATACAATTTTTCATTGATTTGTCTATATTTTGTGAATATTTTTATGAGTAAAAATAAGTTAAAGTAGAACTAAAAAATTCAAATGTTGCTATAGGACTATTCAACTCATCTTTCTCCAATGTTGATTAGTTTCCTGGAGTTGAAAAATGACTTAGTCCTTAAAGGCTGACATATTGCCAGGTAAATTGGCAAGGGGACATAAGTCTGTCTGAAGATTGGTTTGATTGGCTAGAATAGCATAGTGATTTGCTTGAGGTCAAATCACTTTATAATTAAAATTTCTCAAGACGAAATGGTTTTTATTTGAAAAAATTATTCTGCTCAAGTAACAATATTTAATAAATAATTATTGGTTGTTTTATGGTTTATGTAAAATATAAATTATACAGTTACCATTAAATAAATGTAGATTCAGAAACTGGATAACATTCTTTGTTATTATAGCTCTGATACTTAAAGTAGACATTGCGTCATTTAAACTGTTTCATTTTCAAAATGGTGCTCTTCGTTTAATACACAAGGGTAACTAGCAGTAATCCAGTCGTAAAGTTGATATGAATGCAATAGGACATTTTATCCACTTTATTTTAGTTGTGGCTGATGAATAAAATATTTAACTGGAGCCTCTATTCAGTACATGTATATGTAATTGACTATTGACTAACATTTAGGATATGCCAAAAATGGTTATATAGGCCTACAGTACTACAGTAATGCATCTATCATTGAGGATGACTACATATTTTGGGCTCATTTGCTAGTGAATTTTCATTTTGAAAAATTTGTTGTACAATATTAAATACCTATTTAGTATATTTGCATGTAATAATGTTCAAGTTTTAAAGTTCACATAAATTAGAATATTCAGTCTGGATCTTGCTCTTATTTTTCACACTAATTTAATTGACATTTGTATACATTAACTAATATATCTCTAAACCTATTATCTACTAGCCATTGTTACAAACTCTCTATACAAAAACCTTCACACAATGTGTGTGCGGCCCACTGAGAAAATGACTACCTAAATGACAGTTGAAGATCAAGGTGTTGTTAAAAAAGTAAGGTTGTATTTTAAAGATGTAATTAAAGCCTAGTAGGTTAAAGGCAGGTGACTTCTCTTCATGTCTTCTAACAAATCCATCAAGCACACTCTTGAATCTGGTTTTTCTCCGGTTTATGTTTAGAGCTACATATGTCCATAGTGTGTATTTTGTTGTTTAAAAGATGTTTTGCTACTACAAACTGTTTCTCCGCCCATTTTAAGTTAAGGATCTATCATTGTTTGAACGTGGTGTTTAACTTGTCACCCCTATACATGACTTTTTCCATTTAATTTGGTAGAAGGGTATCATAGTTTCTAGCTATGATTAATTTATAGTCAAATTGTCATTTAAAACTTTGTGTGCTAAACCTTTGAACAAATTGCATTCTAAAAGTTGCACAACTCTGGCAGGAATTTATTGATACATTTTTTTCAAAAATATCCAACTTATACAGTACCGTAGGTTTATGTTCGAAATTTATCAGGAATCCTATTTTTTAGTGTTTGCTTTGAAATGCTTGCAATTTAATTTGGTATTTTTTTTATTGAAATTTAAATGAGATTATCAATAAGCCTACTTAAGAATTTTGGTAAATTTATGATTTACAACAATATATGATTTCTTCTTTAAGATTGGGCTGAACACTTAATTTAGTCAAAGTGTCAGTAGGTCAGAAGTAGATTGAAGACAATGTAAAGGAAATATGTGACCAGATGGTTTAAGGTTTGAATCAACTTGAAGTGTGGTGTACTCTGTTTTGATTGAGTTAATTTGATATCTATATTGTTTAATCTGAATAGCTTATAGTTATTCTACAAGTTGAAAGTGGTCAGTTTGGGTCTTTGTTCTCTTTCTTTCATCTGGCTATATGAATAGAACTATGATGACCCTATGTTGAGAAGTGTTATATAGCATCATGTTTCTATTGTACTTGCTAATTATAATATATTTCAACTACAAATTGATTTTAAAATCTCGACTTTCTCAAGGTTCAAGCCTTGTTCAAAGTTTCTTTAACATCTTAGCAATAGCAATAGTTTGTTTCATATCTTGTTTTGAAAAGTATTAGTTTGTTTCATATCTTGTTTTGAAAAGTATTAGTTTGTTTCATATCTTGTTTTGAAAAGTAATAGTTTGTTTCATATCTTGTTTTGAAAAGTATTAGTTTATTTACATTTTGTTTTGAAAAGTAATAATTTGTTTCATATCTTGTTTTGAAAAGTATTAGTTTATTAACATTTTGTTTTAAAAAGTAATAATTTATATTGTTTCGTAAACTAGTTTCAAAAAAGTAATAGTTTGTGAAACATATTGTTTTGAAAAGTAATTGTTTGTTTCATATCTTGTTTTGAAAGGTAATAGTTTGTTAACATTTTGTTTTAAAAAGTAATAGTTTATTTTGATTCGTATCCTAGTTTTAAAAAGTAATAGTTCGTGAAACATATTGTTTTGAAAAGTAATTGTTTGTTTCATATCTTGTTTTGAAAGGTAATAGTTTGTTAACATTTTGTTTTAAAAAGTAATAGTTTATTTTGATTCGTATCCTAGTTTTAAAAAGTAATAGTTCGTGAAACATATTGTTTGTTTTATGTCTTGTTTTGAAAAGTAAGTGTTTATTTGTTTCATTTCTTGTTTTGAAAATTGTGATTTCTCATGTTTGTAAAATGATAAGATGTCAATTTTTGATGACGTTAAAATCATGTTTTATCCACAAATGATTATTATCCATTATTATGTCATTGTATTTTGGTCAGAAAATAATTTCCATTCAATAATATTTTTTCTATGTGTTTCAGGGTGATGCATTATGTAAAGAATGTTTTTATTTTGCTTTTGAAGAAGAAGTACACCATACTATTATAAATGCTAATTTATTTGTAAAAGGAGAAACTGTGGCTATTGGAGCTTCTGGTGGAAAAGGTTAAGTATTTTTTATTTAAAAACATATATATCATTTCATGGATCACAACTTGATACCATGATTATTGGACAGTTGTACATTTACAAATGTAGGCCAGTATATTTCACTACTTGAAGGTATATGTTGCTCAATTTATCTCTCCATCTTTGAATATTTACTATATTTATTTTGTAGATTCTACTGTGTTAGCGTATGTATTAAAAGTATTAAATGAGAGATATAAGTATGGTATAAAATTAATATTATTATCTATAGATGAAGGTATAACAGGTTATAGAGATGATTCATTAGAGGTAGGTATTGTAACAATATTTCATACAACCTACATAATAAGTTACTGTATATTTACCAATACAATACACATTACAATTTACATATTTATTGATATTACACTTTGAACATATACTGCACCTACATTGTGGCGTTGGGTACAGTTTACCATTTTAGTACCCTTGACCATCAGGGATCAAATTGGGGGAACCAAAAATGTGGTAAACACGTAATTTCTCATGGGCAGGTACACATAGCCAAATCACATCACAATAGAGATCTGGTTAAATAATGGAACACAGTTTTATGGTATACCACTCCTTAGATTTTTGTCAATTATTTATGTTGTATATTATAGACAGTGAAGAGAAATGAACAGCAATATGAAATGCCATTGAAGATAGTATCATATGAGGTGAGTGTGTCGTGAATTTTCAATATCATGGGAGGTAACTCTGTTAAAGTTGCAGTGTATATCCAAAATTGTCTGAAGTGCAACATATTTATGATTGTCTCAGTGTTCTTATTTGACATTCTCTGGTGACAAAGGCAATTGTGAAATTAAGATAAGGTTGCTTTGAGACACCACATACAGATTATTTGAGATGTAGGAAAGTGTAAAGTGTCTAAAACAAATGAATGTAAGGAGATTAATCATATTGTAGGAATTATATGGTTGGACTATGGATGCTATAGTAAAACAGATAGGGTTGAAGAACAATTGTAAGTATCTATTTTTGATTTCTCTAAGTCAGTGTCAATTTAATGAAGATTTTGAATTATTTGGGAGCCATATTCCATTGTAATATGTCAATGCTGAAACGTGCTTGAGGTAGTAAACATTGATCTCTACCAGCTTAAAATGACAAGTTTGCCATTTTTGGGGTCTTGAATATATGTAAATTCAGAAGAACTAGAAATGTAAAATATGGCTTAATTGCTTATGATTAACTAGGCTAAAAAAAATCCTGTGATACTACGGTATAGGTATGATTGATCAAACTGATGGCAAACCTGTGAATGTAAACTATCATGGTCTATTGATATATGTATTGTAAATATAGGTACATTTTGTGGGGTATTTAGACGTCAAGCGTTAGATAGAGGAGCTATGATGTTAAATGTTGATAGAATTGTAACAGGTAGGTTGATATTGCTGACTATGTGATTTTAAACTATAACATGTGTGATCTGAGAGTAATTGACATAAGCTATGCATTTAAATATTTTGTGACATTTCAAGTAGGCTACATGCTTTGTTGAAATGTTTTGAAAATATTTGTAAAAATGCTGCATTGCATATCTTAAAATATATTTTTTTTTAGGTCATAATGCTGATGATATAGCAGAAACTGTGATTATGAACAGTAAGTTATTGATTGCTTAAACTGAAATTGTGTTGGAATTCTAAAGATTTTTGGTTAGATTTATTATTTAATTCAAGTAACATTGTGGTAGTATTTTTTTGTCGAAATTGTTATTTTGAGTTATTGCCCTTTAATCATACTCTTCAAATACCATTTCATGCATTTGCTCCTTGATAATCTACAAACACAAATCTCTCACAAAGCTTCTTGATAAATTACTCTGCTCATTAGTACTGAAACTGACACATTGATGATGATATCAGTGTCGTTTAATGATAATTAATTAGGTTTGTTTATATGTACATTAATTATTTTAGTATTAAGAGGTGATAAAGCCAGATTACGAAGGTGTACAGCTATAACAACTGTAAGTTTAATAATAACTGTATTTTTATCCTTTCTATACATCTACATTACAATATTACTCATTAAAGGTTGGTGGTTGGTAGATAACAAGTTAAAGTTTGCTTCCAGCATATGCTGATATCGCCAACTAGTCGTAGTTGTTGGTAGTTGATAACTGATTAAAATGCAATCTTTGAATTTATACCCTTATACATTTAGCAATGTTCTATAAATATCTAACTGTTTATCTAACTTAAGTGAATAAAGCAACAAATATAACTGATAGAAATAAAGTGATGCAAGCAACAGATTATTCACTTTAGATAAACAAAATTTAAGTTATTTATAGCACTTTGCTTAATAGAATTAAGATTTTATATAATGGTTTGAATTAAATTACATGTATATTGATACTAAATTTCATGTTTTTTCTCAGATATTTTTTATTTGATTTTAGGGTACAGAAGGTGCACTACCAAGAAGTAAACCATTTAAATATACATATGAAAAAGAGATAGTTATGTAAGTGCCTCTTAATCTATACTAAATATATTATATTATGGTGTGTTTAGGAATGTAGAAGAGCTTTTATAACTTACATGATATGTACATATATAATATGTATTGGGACACTTATAACTATAATGGAGAAGGTTCACTATCTGTTCGACCAATCCTATTTTATTCTCAGAAATAGGGAATTTTTTTAGCTAAGCCAATCAGTAATTGTGTTCACATGTATCAAATCAACACTCAGAAATGGAAAACTATGGCCTTAAATTATATCATTCTGATTTTCTGCCTTATATTTGGGGTAATTGAAATTTAGAATAATATACTCAGATACTGTCGTCATTAACACAAATACTATTGGGATTCTAACAACAGACATCAGATGCTAAATCAAATGATGCACACAAAAGTTGATTGCTGCTAATTGCACTTTTCAAAACATAAATTCCGCTCAAAATCAATTATTTCACAAATTCAAAACATTTTTCAAGCTGAGACCAAATATCCGTTGTATTATGAAAGGGGAGTAACTCTTGAATGGACTATTTTGAGCACTCTTTCAATGCATCTTGGAGATTGTCAACAAAGCTTAAATTGGCAGCAGACATATTTGATAAATGTGGAAGTCTATCAACAATATCACACAATTCATGTCAGAAGTAGTCAGATCAGACATCAAAGATAGAAATAAATGGAGGTGGGATTGTGTTTCACAGTCAAAAGACAGCAAACAAAATATGAATAAGGTGAAGTAGCATGAAAGATCAATTGAGTCGGCAAAGCCAAATTAATGTATAAAATTCAGTTTGATTTAAAAAGAAAATTCAGGGAGTGGTAAGCCCCAATAACTGATTAGATATACAGCACACCTACAGCATTTTGCATATTGTTCTTCCGATCTCAGAACATTTCATGTCCTACCCCCACATTGTCAGAAATAAAAGGAATTTATTAAGATTTGCATAATATTTTGCCATTTTCCAATTTTATATGCCCATTGGTTTATATAGTCCATGATTGTTCATCAACACTGTAGAAGGCACAATTCTTGTGATGAAACTTGTAAAAATTGTACAAATGCAAGCCCCTCATAAAGACACATTTCAGAAAGGGTGAAACTGAACTGAGCCCATTCTGCCATGAATATATGTATATGACTCTTATAATATATTATTCATTTGAACAATTTAAATATATAATTTATACACATATTTTATTACTCTTAAAACTCTCAAAAGTCTCTTTGCATAATGAGTTGAGATACTTTAAGAAGCTTGAAAATTTGATGAAATTGTCCTATGATAATATTACCTTTTTTAAGTGAAATGCAAAACTATAAAATTGTGTACCCGGTACTGCATATTTGGTTGAAATACTTAAAAATAATTAATTTTATGGGAACATATAAATTTATCATATGGTGAAAACTGAATAGTGTTGTATGATAGAAACCAAGTTTTGAGTTCTGACTGATATAACTGGTTCTTAAAAGCGACCTTGAGTCTTCACCCAAACTAGTCAGAGACCTTTATCTGATTTTCATTTATTAATTAGTAGAATCTAAACTAGATTTTTTTTGGCTCTACCATGATTAGATGTCTGATTATAAAATATACAAGTGATTATCTAATTGGTAGCGACCTTTTTCTGTCAGTTGTTTCACTTATAAGTGTCAGAATTCAGAAAATACTGACATAAGAAGGAAATAAATTGAGATAAAATAGATGTCAAATGATAAATATTGTCATGATAATCAATATCATAATTGACATACAGTCTAATTAAAATAAAACCAAACCACTTCTGTTTAGGTCTCACAACAGGCCCCTTAAACATTTGTCATCATAACCTTATGACCAAATCTGATCACCCCACCTTTAACCAATCAAATTTCCGCCCTTTACAGGGCTGGAATTTAGTAACAGAGTGAAGGAATTTGATTGGTTAAAGCGGAAATCATCAGATTAGGTCAAAAGGTGATTGAGACGAAAGGTTAAGAGGCCCTTTGTTAGACCCTAACCGAATTGGCTAAATTAGAAATTAATGCCAATAAAAAAGCGGAATGAAATTTTGGTCTATTTTTTATTAGACTGAATTGACAGAATACATTATATAAAGTTTAATGGGAAGATGTTAAATAATATTTTGTTCAAAACAATCAATGAAAGTTGAAGGTTTTCTGTTAAAGTCTATCTTTGATTGTTGATCAAATTTTATTTATTTATTACCACAAAACCCCAAGAACCTTAGTTAGAACCCCCTAAAACATATGCAAAATATAGGGAAACCTTCATATTTGCATTTGCTTTAAATCATTAAATCTAATGTAGACAGGATGATTTGGATTCTGAAAGATGATCTAGATAGTTGATATCAAACTCTATCAGCTGATTAAACAAATATTTGAATGCAGTGACAAAATATTTTAATGTCCAGCAATGAATGTTGCCTACTTTGTCAGAATTCTAGTAGAAACTGAAATTTTTCGGAGAGGATTGAAACATCCTTTGATCATGACTTTAAGTGACAACATTATACCAAACGAATAAAAGATTTTGTTTTTAAGATAAAAGAAAAGTTTAACAATCTTTTCCATCAAGCAATTCATTTTGTCAAAGTTTAATGTCTATCAAATACCTCTATATCTAAATGTATGGAATTGGATAATATGTAATATCAGCAAAATTTGATATATATTTATCCTTTCTTAAATTATAATTGTTTTTTCTAATTATCTTATATTTCATTTGATCTTTTGTTAATGGTTAGAAAATCATATTATTATAATGGGACTACAGTAGAATACTGGTTAGATTATATTGAGACAAAAAATATCAGAAAAAACATAATTGTATTCTAGTTTAAATTGCAATGACCCAGAAAGGTGCAAAAAAAAACCCTGGGTAAACAAGTCACTTTATTCAATTTTGTTTGATTATTATTTCAATATTTACCAAGAAAAGATGCAATTTCATACACACAGATTAATTACTACTGGGAAATGCTTAGGAATGAATTTTCAATAGTTGCTTCTTATTCAATTTCCAATGTTAATAAATGATTTCTGTTTGAAATATCAAGGAGAATCAATCAACTCATTTGTGAAAGTTTTAAATGTCTGAAATGGTTGGATAATGTAATATCTTTGAGTTAAGCCATATTATTTTTGTTTAATTTTTTCATGTGTTTCATTTGAATGGGAAGGAAATAGCAAGAATTAACCGGCTCTGCATTTCTTCTGCCATTACTGTGTTCCAATTGAATCAATCAGTTTTGCTGGAGATTAATGGAAAGAGAGATTTTATTTATTGAGGTTGATATGTGATAGAGTTTATTTGAATATAGCTGTAATTGAAAGTGAAATATCTTGCTGTGTTTTTAATGCCCTGCCTGAAGTAATGTTATGTTAACACTGTTATTGCTTCATTCAAGATTTAAATTCTTACTTTATCTGATTCTAATACTATATTTGAAGGATATTTCAAGGCTATATTTTTACTTGATAGTGTCTGTTTTTATCTAGAATAAAACCAGTAAAAGCCTTAAATTTTATGTATGGAATTGCATCCATTTCTTAACCTGTTGTCCTGATGAGGATTGTATTACCAAAACATACATTATCAGCATAAAGTGAATTTGTGTAATATTGATAAGGTAGCACAATAAAGAGTTTTATTGAAAACGTTTAAACAATTTACATTGTCAAATCTGACCATAGTGTGAAAAGATAATATATGTATATGTAATAATAAAACAAGGATAAGTGTTTATTACAAAATATTCTGATTTATTCTTATATAATTCAATTATGAATAAGAAAACTTTCATATTATAGACTTTTGTTTATTGTAGATTACTCGTGGTTGTTTTTTTAACTTAATACTAACTATGCTAACTTCACCTTATCTTGTATTGAACATTTATCTCTTTATTTGTGACCTTAGCTAGTGCTTTACATAGAAGTTTTTAGGAACTTCTTCACTCTTAACACAGACTGCCAGAAACTGGTATCAAGTGGGTGGTAGAAGATATTGAATGCAAATTCTTCCATGTTTCAAAATCCAGTTCCAGTTCCAGAAGGTCAATCCTGAGCCCCTCTTTTAGTATAACAGCTACATTGCATATTCAATAGTTAAAAAAAAGCAAGGTTCGTTCATCGGTAACCCAAACCACAATATTATTACTATTACCTAATATTTCTAGAAAAAATTGGCAACTAGTCTACAGATATTTTTGTTGATAATTTTATGTAACAGATATGGGATCTTTGATGGTGGATATTGTTTTGTCTAACATGATATTAATAGAACTTATCTATTTTTTATTTTTAGGTATGCTTATTTTAAGAAACTTGATTATTTTTCAACAGAATGTATTTATTCACCAAATGCTTACAGGTAAGAAAGTAAACAGATTTTCTACCTTTCATATTTTGTCAGTGAGAAAAGTCGAATCTAAATTATTGAGATTTATTACAAAACATAAACATATGTTTTAACATTTTTATACTAATTTGATTCTAAATGTTTTCCTAAAGTAGTAAGTATTTCAAAATGTGAGGGCTTTACTTTTCAAGTTGGCAATGAATTTTTAATTTCTTTCTCTTTTTACATTAAATTAGTGTAAGTTATTGATAATGTTAAAGTGATGTAGTCATCTAAATATTTGCTATCCTCAGGAGACAGAGCTTCATTTCATCTGTCTATTACTTTTTGGAAATTCAGCACATGATAGGTTATCCTGCAAGTGACTATAGTATAGGTATCTGCAAAACTGCAAGTGACAATAGTATTGATGTCTGCAAAGCTGCAAATGATAGTTATATAGTTATCTGAAAAGCTGCAAGTGACCATAGTATTGATGTCTGCAAAGCTGCAAATGATAGTAATATAGTTATCTGAAAAGCTGCAAGTGACCATAGTATTGATGTCTGCAAAGCTGCAAATGATAGTAATATAGTTATCTGAAAAGCTGCAAGTGACCATAGTATTGATGTCTGCAAAGCTGCAAATGATAAATAGTATAGATATCTGAAAAGCTGAATGTGACGATTGTATAGATATTTGCAAAGCTGCAAGTGAGAATAGTTTAGGTATCTGCAAAGCTGCAAATGTATTTTGAAAATCATGAATTTAGTTGACTACATCCCTTTAAAAGTTTTTTCAATGTTTTGTTTTGATAATATTCTGTTGAAATTATTTATGATTCTTGACATGGTAAATTCAAGGTATTTACCTCTGTAAACTGGTAATTAATATTTTACATGCCAGTATTCCATATTTACATTATGTCTGTCTACTTGTTCTATGATGAATATTACAGTTGTAATGGTAAAACTGTATGTTCAGGAATAAAACAAGAAAAAAATGTTATGTTCAATACGTGAATTTTTTTAACCTATGTCCATACTGAATATTGACAAGTAGTACTTTCAGATTTGTCAGATTTTTCTGAATTAATAGTATTCCTTCAACAGTGCTTTCTTAGAATGATAGTGTGTTGGATTGTACCTAACAGGAACCTCTGGTTGATCTTACTTGATTGATGGTTTTGTAGATTTAATTTTTCATTTTGACCAACAGAGACGACGGGAGCTTGTAATTCTTCAACATTTGAGATGCTCTGCTGGACATGCTCAGAAGAGTAAATAACAGAGCTGGTAACATCATTATCGTCATTATTTCAGAGGCTTTGCAAGAACATATATTAAAGATTTAGAGAAAATCCGACCAAGGTCTATCATAGATATTATACATTCTGGAGAAAGCCTTTCATTTAAAAAAGAAGTTAAAATGCCAACACAGGGTAGGGTTATTCAGTTCTATTTTCATGTGTAAAATATAAGGAATTAAGTTTTGGTTTGAGATAGATCTGTAGAATTGATCATTATTACAAGAAACATTGCTACCAAAACTAATTTTTTTAAATATTAAAGACTGGTTTGATAGTTGAATTTGGATTGACATATCAGATCACTAGATCAACAGAAATCATCATTATTTTAACATGCAGTTAAAAGATCAAATTCAGATGTTTTTTTTAAATTTTGATGAATGGTTTAAGAGTAAACTGATTAGAATGTAGATTGACATATCAGATCAAAAGATCAACAAAATTTGTCTTTATTTAAGCTTGCAATTAGGTGATGCTGTCAATTTTATATTCTTATAAATATTTTAGACTGGTTTAAGAGTGAGGGACATATCAGTTCAAAAAATTAACAGAATTTAGAGACATGTAAGGAGTTAAATGATCAGGATATCTCTTGCCATTAAAATGAAACTCTTTAAAACTGATAGTCTAGATTAAAGATTGCTCTGATTTGAATTTGGATAAAGAGTTTGGAGTTAAATGATATTATTGGTTTCTTGAAAAAAAGTTAAATGATCATTCTATCTCCTGCTATTAGAATCAAATTCCTCAGAATGTGTAGACTAGAACTGTCAATGTTGTGAAAGATTGTTGAAATTTGTATTATTCTTATAACTGAGTTTCCTAGAAGTTTTCATTGTATTTATGTCACTTGATTTTGAATCAAGAGGTAAAGGTAGAGAAATGTTTTGCTGTTTTCCAAAATAATGCTATCAGGATTGTGGACTCTCTGAAATAGATAATTTAATTTCTGATGTAAAGGGTAGAACATTGATAACATATTTATTAGAAATTTCCTCATAAATTTTGCCTAGGTTAAAACCAAAAATATACTTTAAGGATAATTTTAGACAGTTTATGAAATATACTGTAAAGACAAACTCACTTGGATTCTTCACAAGTGTAAAAAATATTGTTAGAAGAGTGGAAATGAGAATTTCTAATCTATATAAGGAATGTTTGATCAGCTATAAATAGCATCTTTTATTGTCTACTATATTTTTATAGTGTGATTTCTTGCTTTTCATTAGCTGATAATAATGCAATTCTTCAATACCATAAAACAGTAATAAATCTGTCTGCTGCATCCTATATTTCATATTACATTTATTTTCTAAAAAGAAATTGAACTCAATAACAAATTATGTAGCATCTGAATTATAGTTAGAACACAAGTTAGACCACAGTTGTGTTCTGTCTTTATTTGCTTTTATTTTTACCCTACTGATCCTAACTGAAATGGCTATATTAACAATAAAAGCTTTTAAAAAAAAAACAGAACAAAAGTTTAATCTAATTAGACTGATTATGTTCTTGCAGTTCCACTCCAACTAAACTTTTTATGAATTGGAATTGCCGACTAACTGAAATTTGGAATGTTGTAAATTAATGCTATCAGTGACCCTGATACACATAAGAAGTTAAGAAAATCTCTGTAAAAGCCCTTTACAATGTTTGTATCAGTTAATATGTATGATATAAGGTTATTGTATATAATATATTTATTATTATTGTAGGAACCTGTACTCGATGTCATTATATATCTAGCAATGATATATGTAAAGCTTGTGTATTATTAGAAGGGTTGAATAGAGGTCTCCCAAGGTAAATTATCTTAGAGTTCTTCTCAAATTCTTACCAGTACAGTGGTCTCTGTGTAATCCCACCTACAATGGGCCCAAAAATATGTTGAATGATCGAGAGAGTCTTTAATTTAAGTATTAAAGTTCTTGAATTTAACCTTGGCCTACTCTGTTATTATTTAAGGCTCTGTGTCAGTCAATCTGATAAGATTATAGAGTTTTACCTTTTCATGTCACATTTAATCTATTTTGAACACAAGACATACTCTAATGATCCAGGACCTTGACTTGACTTTATTTCCAATGATTAATCAGCATGATTGACACTTGTAGTCTTTTGTCTTTACGTAGATTCAGATTATCTATAATACAAGTGATTATCTAATTGGTCGTAAAGGGATTAAGCTGACTATATATCAGATTATACAGTTTTATATGTCTGTCGGTTCCATTTATTAATGTGGTCCCACTTATTAATGTCGGAATCATAATAAGATTTTTTCTTAATTGAAAATAAGGGAATAAATCTGAACCCAAGAAATATGTCGGATTGTTCAGATTGTCATGATATTCAGATGTCAGAATTAAGAGACTACACTGTTTATCTTTTCAATTATGAAATAGTTTGAAAATGAGTGGGACTATGAATGACCGATGGAGGTCAAAAAAGTTTAAATGTCTAGACACAAATTCTATTGATTGAACAGTTTACAATCTGACAGAAAAAAAAGATAAGTGTATCACAGAACTTTGGCTGTGTTAAGCTTTTAAATAAATGTTGATCAGTTCAAAACAATGTATTCATACAACATACAACTTGTGCACCATTATTTTGAATATTGATGAGTGGTCTCACTAGCTAAAAGATTCAAATTGACTGACTGATCTTGACCATTAGTTGTGTTTGAAGCCCAGGTCATTTTGAACAAATATTTCTGTAGAATTTAATGCAGTGTTAATGAACAAACATAAAACAACTTTCTATTATAGATTGGGTATTGGTAAAACACATAAAGAAAGACGCAAGGTAAATAAATAAGATATTGTCAATAACATAATATATAGTTGTCAAAATATTTGCTTTATCAGCTGAACGATCTGAAAATTCGATAAAATTCCAGACACAGAGCAAAACACTTTTCAAAATTAAAATCCAGAGTTTGGTTTTGCTGTAATCAAATATACTGTTTCAAGGATGTTTAGACTGTGTTCATTTCCAGAGAATTATTAACTTTGCCAATGTTACAGTTGTTATGGAACTGAGCATAGTTTCAACTTGTATTGTTCCATTTCACATTGAATGCACTGATATGATTTTATATTGTAGGCTGATGAGTTAACTAAGTCATCTATAACTAATAGTAATAGTTGTCTGAAATCAGCATGTAATTCTGCAAACTGTTGTAGTAATAAGCTTTCAAATCAAACAACAGAAACACCATCAGTGACATCAACAATAATTTCAAATACATCAGAGAGACCAGACCTAGATTTCTGATGAATGGTGAAATGATGAATGATGAAATAGAAACAGCATCAGCACCACCATTAGGTTGAAAGAGAAACAACATCAGCACCACTTTTAGGTCAAACCAGAAACAACATTAGCATCATCATTAATATCTGCAGATACATCATTTGCTTCACTAAGGCCAGATCTATATTGGATATAGATTTTTATTGACTCATGTTATAGAAAACTGTTATATCAGTCATCAGCAGATGCAGCATAAGAAACACCATCATCAGCACTTCCATTATAATCTTGAGATAAGACATCAGTATCTCAAAGACAGATCATAATATCGGATGAACTCGCTCACCATATGAGCAATCCAAAGGACGGAAAGTTATTCCTTAATGGTTTTGAATGAATTTATGAAATCTTTAAATGTAAATATAATAAATATGTTTTAACGCTGGAATTGGTTTAATATGCTCTATCTTCATATCCATCATGACTGACATGTACATACCAAATTGTGTCTCAAATTACCGGTTCTTCAAATGGTGCTTTATAAAGTGGCGGCACCAGCATTTCGAGACAATAGGGGGCAAATTGAATCAACGGGACAACTGTCGAGGCTGAATTCAAAATGCTGCAACAAAGAGGAGAGGAGGCGTCATAAGCCTCTCATGGAACGTCTGGCGCCGCCACTGACAGCCTATGGTGACTGTCAGTTAGCTTCCAATGCCACTATGTCATCTTTGTCGAACAAATACTTCCGATTAACCATTAGTAGCAAATACTAGTACCTAAATTTGGTTCCAATTGATATCGCCATTTCATTGAATAGAAACCACATAGTGATGAGACTTGGATTATGATCATATTTATGATACCGGTACTGCAGTTGTAGCTAAGATACCAAACAATAATCCACGTCTCATACGATAGACTGTGCGCTGTTTGACAGTTAAAGTAGCATTTCAGTAATTATAACCTGTGTGGCGTAACCCGTCGTTATTAGCCTTACCATGAGTAGCATCAAAAAGTGCATTCAGCACCATGAAATTGATTTCATTCAATAAGATTGGTACTTAAGGAAGTGTAAAATGTTCACTCGAGCCTCGCGAAAGTCGAAGAACTAACAGGCTGCGAATTGAAATCTATGAATTAAGAAACCGGATTGGAACAATGTTGATGAACAATGCATGAACTCTATATCAATCTATCATCAACTTGTCTAGCCATCATCATCATTAGCAATAATTTAATTTATAAAATAAAACTTTGCAATAGAAATATTAGTCTAACCATAGAACACTTGTAATAGTTACTAGTTCTATGACTTAAGCCACCACGCAGATAAAACAACTCACCTATCTTACATTGTATAGTAAATTTCATTCTGAATTGAAAACAAACTATTAATTCCCAGTAACAACCTGGTAGGTTAGAAAAATAATCTCGCAGTGTGTTTTTGATCCAAGCTAAATAACAGATGGGCTATTTAAAATAGATTCATAAACGTCAAAGATTATCAGATCTTTCACTAGCCTTTTATAAATCGCTCTTTGATTAAAGAAAATTAAAAAAAAATATAGTTCAATGTTTGCATTTAGAAATATATGACAGAGAGTTAAACTGGAAATTGCATGAGTTAAATTAGTTTCGATTTCCAAGACTGATCTGAATGCAAATGCTTAATTGCATTGCGAAATCGCGGCTGTCATTTAGTATCGAAGTTTTATTGAATTGTTTTTTTTACTAGTTACACCTTAATTACATTTCTCTCATTAAGGTACATACACAGAAAATAAATTGAAGTTTAGATTTAATAAAAGTATTGAATGGAAACTGTACAAAGTCGTTATTGTTCATTACCTTAATGTGTCTATAGGAATAAAGAATATACAAAGCACCATTGGGACTTGTATTATAGATCTTCAATTTAACAACAAAATAGATCTGTGTACAATTATATCTCATTTCCAATTTGCACAGCTGGTATACAAGTAAATTTATAGACTATAATAAATTTATTACTCTCATAGGCATTATCACGAGGACATTTTCTTGATTTACAGGGTTGATTTTCAGACGATATCAACAACAATATATTCTGGAATAATGCTAGTTTTGACAAGGAAGCTAATTTCTTTATTTTATGTTTCATATACATATCTGTCCTGAATCTTTGAGCAATTTGCTTGGAAGATAAGGAGGGTACAAAGTCAACGGTAATAAACATAACTGAAATCTTAACCGAAACCATTAACTTTTAAATGGGGAGTAACCTAAAACAACTTCGACCCAATGTCAGAATTTAGTTGATTTTAGAAGCGGGCGCCAATATAATCATGACTGCTCTGAAATTTTATCCACTCTCGGCCTCAGGAAGTAGGCGATTTGCGACACTAACATTATCTAAGGGTAATGTTTGTTGTGCGCAGTCCCGATTGACGAAAACCCCAAAAGCAACTTAATCAAGATCGTAGGCCAAGAAATAATGATCGTAACTGATTCTAAATTGTGATAGTTTACTATGTCATGGGATCTTTTACTTACATTTTCTTTTTAACAGAGAGCCGCGAGTACGCAGTGAGTTCGATGCTTCCTCGCTCGCTAGCCTTATATACAGCAAAGTAGTACACAGAAATCCATCTAATTTCATTTAGATCTTATCACAGAGAACATCTGAAATATTTGATCTTAATCTCCTAAGTGTCCAGTTCTAGGTTATCTCTTGTACTTCAATGACCAACAGCCTTACGGATTCGATTAATCTTTAAAATTTATGTAGAGTAATATACAAGCCTTCTTAGAGGATTGGCTTCAAATAGCAGAAACTAATTGATAGTGAGCTTAATAAGAAGCAAACTGTTTCGTATGTCTCTGAATAATTCACGACGACTCTCTTGACTCTCTTTTAGCAATTGAATTACTGTCTTTCATTGACTGATGAAACTGCTATATCAAAACAGGATTGGTGTAATACCAGTCTCTACGATGAATTGATGTTACCAATATTTCAAATAACGTCAAATAAAGAAATGTAATGTGTTTCCAATTTGATGTAACATGTTTTACTGGATTAATGATTTTCCCATTGGTGTCCAGAATATTTATTATATGCTATAAGAAAACGTGTTAGATTTTCTCAGAGTCATGAAATAGAGCTAGAACCTAAAATCTGTCTTATCACCCGTATCTAAGAAGTTAAAAAATCGGCGAAATCAATCTGCGTTATTTGAACAGTATTTTATAAAGGTTTTGTCTTGCCTTAGCGTCATTTCGATATGACACGAATCGTTCAGTTGAAAAATGCAATATGCTACAAACTATTTTGTTAACTGAAGTATGGCTGGACGATTAGTTTATAATTGACTTATAACAGAGCAGAATCACAGAATAACCCAATAAGTTGAAGGGATTGCAGGAACCACACACGTTTGATTTAAAATTGGAATGGTGCAAATTAATACTATCAGTGTTCCCGATACAGTTTAGAAAACCTCTTTACAATCCCATTAAGAATTAACACTAACATCTGAATCTGAATCTAATCATTTGCATTCTGTTTTGGCACTCCACTTATTTATTGGTTTTACAATACAAGATCCAATATAGATAATGATAAGTATAATTTAAGTTTAGTATTCACGAAGTTGTAAAACAGAATTGAATGATTATATCTCAAAAGTAAACACTATCAATATCACATCAAATCTTTTATTTCTCTGATGGTGGATTTTGATATTTTACCCATTTTACTATCAAGTTCTAGAAAAATCGTAACTTCAAACACAGATAAGACATAAGTTTGTGTAGGAATTATTTTTGTCTTAAAACAAAGATTTAGGATAGGCGTTATCTATAGAAACAGTTGGGATAAAACATAACATAACCATATGCTAAATCATTAGAATAATTTCCACCTTGAACAAAAACTTGTGTAAAGAAAATTTAGGTGTCTGGATATTATACAATGAATAAATTTTGTATTATTATTTGTTTAAGCGTAAGTTATGCTCTATTTTATTATGTCTGTGCTATTAGTTTGTACTGTTGGAATATGGAAATAAAACTAAATGGCCACAATCTGCCTATTTTAAGGCAGGCTATAAAAGAATTGTTCTGGGTATTACCTTAATTAACCATTTTTCTACTTAATGGTAGGTAGACAAAATGCAATGCTAATTTCGGAGTCTAAAGATGGGAATAGACGATGTACGGTGTCCGGTGCATGGACGGTAGGGAATGATCGATCTTACAGTAGAAAATGGAACAAGGGAACACTAGGTACGGGTCCGGACACGATTCGCTTCTACTATTTTCTACTGTATCGATAACCCAGCACCGTACACCGCACCGGAAACAGTACATCATCTATTCCCACCTTAATTCTTCAGATTAACGTTAATACACGCCTGACGTTGATAACTTGTAAAAGCATAAATCGATTTAAAAATGACTATTTAGAAGTTAGTGATGTCATTTTCTAGAATTTCGTCTACTTTTACGCATGAAAAGTAACTAAAAATCCAAGAATTAACATGGTATGAGCCTTAAACATATTTGAACATGCGTTAAACATCATAAATCTCCACGCCTGTTCCTGTTGTATGGGGAATTGGCGACATTGTCATGTCAACTATCCACTTAAAGCTTCGTACTCTCATTAATTGGAGTCTTCAAAAACGTTTGTATTACGTATGAGAATTTGTGTAATGTTAATATATTGTCAATATTTATTGTAAAAGTTAGGTAGAAAACGGTTTTATGGAAACTGATCTCACCGACCTCTATAAAATAGCCATCAAGAATCAGATACGAATCAACAAGTTTCAAATTAGCAATTCCATTATCATTATAACCGATCTATGTATTACAGGTGTTTGTATTTGTAAATGGAGAATCTACAGATCCGTGTATTACACGAGTGAGTTATTTAGTGTACCACATCTGCCTGGTTGCATCACCATTCACCCAATAGGGTTGTGTATTATCATTAAACCAAAACGAATAATTGTTAGATTTACACCTTCTTGACGTATATCAGAAGACATGTCTCTGATGGAAAGCATCTGTTTAATCAAAGATGTTTCAGTCTAATCGAAATCGGACCAAACTTTCGTTCCGTTTTTTTACACTTTATTTTTAATCTAACCAATGAACCTTTGACCTAACTCGATGACGTCTGCTTTAACCAATCAAATTTCTACCCTCTCCAGCACTGGCATTTTGTGGCGCTATGTTTATCAGGTTAGACTGAAGATATTTTAAATTAATGATATCAAAACAAGAGGCATTTTACATGTTTTGTCCGGATTTGCACTACGTTTTTCTGCCATTTCGAAGGGTGTTCATAGTTAAGTATACTTGGAGCATGGAAAAGGCGTGTCATCTTTTGTACGAGCTTCCCTTTTAGCTTGTACAGTTGGAAATAGAAAAAAGAGTACGCCATTGTCCTGACAAAATTTCTCTCATTGCGCACTGCATGGCGTTGTCTTGTCTTCATTTGCCCAATAGGGTACTTCGTGCATTTTATTTACACTTCTTTAATGATCAATGTTAGTAGATAACGTTTATTGCCCATGCTTTAATTGCAGTTTGTTGTATTTGAATGTGTGATGTGAACTGTTCTGCGAAAAATTGGCAGAATAAACCTACACTTTTACTGTTAGATTCTGAAATCATAGCATCGACAGATCTGTAATTACAATGACCTATTTTTAAATTCGTAATCCCTTGAGGCTAGCAATTTGATCAGGAAATATGCTTTACTTCACTTTTCTTTTGCTGCAACTTAATGATCTGTTCATCTCCTGGTTTGCCAGATCACTGTTATAATTTGAGTAAAAGCTATATGCACCATTGACATATTATAAACTATAATGTATATATCTTGTTTGCTGTTACAGAACATCCAATGTAAGCAAGGTCAAGTATGTCGACTGATGAAAGTGGACTGTTTTACTAGTCCTTGCAGCCCTCAACCAATTTGTGTGGGTAAGATCTTTAAATATATTTTATAACTCGATAGTAATAGTGCTTCAAAATATTTGAATACTGCGATTTGGTGGTATTATTATTTACCTTTTTAAAAAAAAGCAAGATTTCCGTCCGCATAATTATCTACCATAAATATATTTCCTTATCCCAGTGTGCTAATTAATAAAACCCATTTCATTTCAATTTAAATTCACAGACGGAATTTTAAAAAAAGTTTCGAAATGTAATTATTTAGTGTATGCGGAGGCTGACTATTTAAGCGTCTTCAACTCCCACAAGACCATGCCCCCACTTATAATCGGCAGTCGGTTTTAATGTAGGTCAAGATTTCCGCTTTTGATCTATAATTTTGATAATTTGAATGCAAGGTGGTAAGAATTCTGACCTGAAGATTCTTGCTCACCGCTTTGATTGAGACATTGGTGGATTGATATTCTTGAGCTCTCGTATAGTCAAATTGAGCTGTATCAGCTGCAAATTGGCCTATTTAGACGTCAATTTTCCATTATATATTCACCTTGTCGCTTTGGCTGTACTTATCTGTTGATAAGAGCACTACTCCGGATTCTTATTCTGAAGCGTTAAACATAGCTGAGCTTGAACCCGATATGATTTTCAATATTTTAACGATTTCGATCTGTTCTTTTTAATTGAATTCAATATGGTCAATTGGGGACGTATAATGACGCCGCATCTGTCCATCCGTCCACATTTGACATGTAAACGATACTTCAGTTAGGTGCGAATATCATGTTTGACAACCGCTTGTATCATATCACGTCTTTTTCATTCGCATTTCAGATGGTAAAATACCTACATTAGCTGGTGTATGTAAAATCAATCAACCTATTATAGATGGTAATCATAAAGCACTGTTTTGTGGTCGAGGTTTCCACCGTGTATCTTGTCCAGATGATACAAGATGTGCAGTTGATCCAGTAGACAGATTTGCTGTTTGTTGTTACACAGGTCCCACTGGTATTTTGGGATAACATTCCGTTTTATAATAACTAATAAATAAATTTATTTGAAAGCTTGCATAACCATACACTTGTCCACATAAAGTGTATTCTTGGGTTATACTTGTACCACCGTCCCTTCACTAGCATTAGGTTGTATTCTGTGCAATAAATACGGAATCTCCTTGAATTTCTTACACAACAGAACTTTTGCAGTAACGTTCTTGCTTGTTATTGATGCTACGAATATTATACAATATAATATGTTAGAACTATACTCAAAGATTTGTTTCACAGTTTACTGTAAAATAGAAAATTTTGCATTTATAACCTTGGGTCCTTCAACACAACAGTCTTTACTTCGAGGGTTGGTTAAAACGTTCAACGGCTAAGGTAGTTAAATCGGAATGAAACTAACTTTTGCCGCCTACATGTACAACTATTTAATGACTTATTGTATTTGTACCAGAACATCTTTAGAACTTACCACAAATGGATGGAACATCAATCCATCATCAAGTACCTGCATCTGAAAGTGCTAACTCCAACACTGGTATTTTGCACCTTAAGGCATGATGATTCTTCTTTTTGCAGTGTACGAATGGGCTGTGAAATTCAATCGTAGTGGATAGAGCCTTGACGATGACTGATCGACGATTGGCCACTCGACATATTGCTAGTAGGTATCTCTCTTGAGAGGGATGAGCACATTGTCAATAACAAGATTAAAATGTCAAAGGTTCTGTTATACGGGAACAAAGGTCTTGACTGCGTATGAAAAGCGCCTTTTTGAAACATATCCTGATGATATTATGGCCCTATTTGGCCTCATCAGACTTTCTTTCATTCCTGGAATGAAATTAGAGCTTATCTGTCGCCATTTTAATTCTTGTTACCAGGTTCTCAGGTCTTGCAGCATCGCTTGAAAAGGTTTGTAAACTTGGAAGAGGACTATAATGAAGAGAACTAAATGAAACATTTTGACTTGTAACAGGTCTTGTTAGCTTTTTAGCCAACCCTCGTTGTTCAGCACTTTCGCAAATAATATATTTAATTGGCTTGATGTGATTAACCTTAAAGCCGTTAAGATCTATCGACATCGTGGCAATAACCCTTGAGTGATAGTCGATGACAGTAATTAAAAAATCTAACGGATACCGCAAAATTCATAGTTAAGAATTAACTTCATTAGGTTATCATACAATATCCGAAATACTAGCAATGATGTACTACAATTTTCTAAGAATAGACACCTTTTGCCTTACAAGTCAATAAATCGATTTGATCGGTGCGGTATTTATGTTCCCTCCGGATTAAGATTTATTGGATATCGAACTGTAACTTATTATTAGGCCTATAGCATGTCAAATAAAAACAACAACCTTGATTAAAAAGAGCATTACAAAATTGCACCCAAATCGATATTTTCCACGAAATAATACACTTACAGATTATCGATTGAACTTTATTTTAATGTTCTTGAACATTTTATTTGTCAGTCGGTTTATCAAAAAAAAGAATTGATTTTAAAAGCCATGAAACGACCTCACTTACAAATACATGTACTGTGAATAAAAGCTTTTATGTAGTTTACTCGGAAGTCAGATAGACGAGATTGTACAAAATCAAATAAGAATATACCAGCGTCTATTATTTGTTTTGTGGGTAAGTGAATATAAATTTAAGATAAGTCAACAAATACAGATAATCTTTTTGGGTGGAAGAGTTAAAGCCCTTGTCTAATAATTTTGAAACATAACCTTCAACACTCATGTTTTCCAGCTTTATTAAGGGTTGTGTAAACTAAGGATATTAACAACTTGATCTGGAAGCCAATTTTCTTGTAAATTCATGCTTGCATTGCTACCCCATTATCAAACTTGAAAGATTGAAATGGACTCCTATGATCATTATTTTTAGTTGTAAATCAACTATAGCCAAATTCTAGTACCAAAAAAAATACTTCGACTCACACTATCAATTTTTTGTTGTTGTTATCTTGAAACTTGATTGGTGTATGATGAAACGTCAAGGTATAATAGCACTTTAAGACAACTATAGAGACAAATACGGGTACTGCTGAAACAGAATTATTCTTGAAGATAAGAGGATATCAAAGATATTCTAAGTTTGTGTGACAATATATATTATTCTTGTAACTTGTTTGCCATTTCTGAACCTTTTTACGACTTAGTGATAAAATATCTACTTTTGAAATAGTTATCAAATTTCAGCCAGGTTGCAGATTATTCTTTTATCATTGGTAATTCTTTTCTAAATCAAGAAAAATCTTTTTTCATTACAAATTGTAATGCAATCATGCTTTAAATTTCAAAACATCTTCTGCTTCTTTTTCATTAACTTTTATGTTTTTAACCGAATATATATTTACTAACGTTTCAGTGTTAGTTGTTAGTACTTTGATTTGAATACTGCCAGCATCGATGTTTTCCATGATAAAAAATCCTGCAATCCTGCACATCAAATTATGCATTATGGTGGAAGTTGTAAATCTTGACACATTTTCTTTAACTTACATGTAACTACAACTCTTCAACAATTCTTCAACTTGCATGTCAGTACTTAAATACTTGGAAAAGCTACTTAATCTTCTTCTGTCTTGTGAATGAAACTTGACCACATTGCCGTAATCGATTAAAATTCCAAACACACCAGAAAACATAATATAAAATATGTAATAATAGTGTTATCTTTTTTATTCATACTTTAAGATCAATTTTGACCTTTGGCGTGCTACATTAAATGATTAATTTTAAATGAAACTGATACGTTTTAATCAGTCGTGTACCTAAAATTAGAATAGATAAAAGTACATGGCGTTAAATGACAAACTTAATGAATTTATTTTTACATACTAGTATCAATTTTAATTCCCAATTTAACTACAGTCCTTCTCATAGGGACTAATTTATTTTCCATTTAAGCTTCTATCTGAGAACAATAAAACATCGTTTATTGATAAATTGTATTTCTCGAAGCTCAGATGTAGTCTATTTGTATAAGTATCCTGGTAGTCCTAACGGGAAAAAGTAGCTCAAATTGGAATTAGCTCTAATGGGAATTAGCCCGAACAAACCGAACTCGGTAGTTCTGAACAATTTGTAGGTTATTTTCCCTTCCATTGGTGCATCTGCCAAACAATTCATTGAATTGATGAGAAATAAAAAGGGTTACTAGTTATCATGTGTAAAGGGGCAAAATATGGGTTGCATTCGCCATCTTTACACTAAAATGTTGTTGAATATTTGCTTACTAACTACCATAATAATAGTAATATCATGACCTGTATTGTTTGAACATAATTGTCACTATGCGCAAAGCTTTAGAATTTAAAATCTCGACCGTTGTACGAAATACATATTATGACTATAATGTTAATCTTTCTTGAAGATTTGAAGGTTTCTTCAAGCGCTTAACGCGCAATAAGTCTCGTGTATGCTTTAGCCACAAAAAAATTTGATTAGATTGTACGCCAGCGAATACAGCCAATCAGAGACCTCGATAAAAAGGTTGTATACATAATGAATTTGTGTTCACATACTTTCTGTCGAGGCTGTATTCGCTAAGGTACAATCCAATCAACTCGCTTCATTTCGGACTTGCATGATACAAGAAATGTGACAGTCAAGGTATTTGTACGAAGTTGGTAATAGCTTGACATTGTGGAGATGGAGATATGCTCACGCTATAATCCTTTTATACTTATCTTTTAACACGAGTTGAACAATCAACACTGAGTAAATAATAGAAATTAGAATACCTGAATTGCGACATAATGACCTAAACAATAAGGTGGGGTATGTCATTTGTAAGAAAGTCAATGATGCTACATTGTATTTAATTTTGTTGTACATTAAAATGCCGTAATTTGCAAATGTAAACTATTTGTACTCTTACAAATGCGAAAAACCATCTTTAATTTACATTTTCCGCATTTTGAAAAGTAGAATCAAGCAAAGTATTTGATTATGGTGTTAATAATGAATTCTTAATCTAGAGAAATGTGTGTGAACGTAGAAAGGCCCTTAAAAGACATAAACTTCAATCTGGTGGCCGAGGCTAAATTTAGACCCATGTTTGACTGGTCACATTTTCAAATTTTAATTACATGAGCTAAATCTATTTGGAATAAGATATGTAAAATTTAAAACTGATTCAAACTGATTCATTATATTTTTTATAAAAAATCCCTTTGTAGGCTTACACACTTTTGCCAGGTATACTGCGAGGCTTACAAATTGTCTGCAGCGACCCTAAAAATTCGTCCTTAGTTGAAATGAGAGATACCCACAACACTTGTAATAAGACGCCCAATCGTCTTTCATCCAGTCTATGTTTTCCCGATTGGTTGCTGTTGAAGGCCTCCCTGGACGCGGGTCATAGTCGAGGATTTCACTGCCATGCTTGTATTCCGCCTTCTGCATGCAGTGTATGTTGGTATTAGCCCTTTCAGTTCCAGTTACTTAATGACTGTCCATGTTTACGGCAAAAGTTTGTTTCAATGCTATTGATATATAATTCCATTTAGGCCGAGAACATTACTTTCAATCAACCGTTTTATTTGTGCATACATGTCTATGTTAATTTGTATAAACATGGGATCGTAAATACCCCTCCGTACTCAGTGGTAGAAATATGTGAAGATATGTAAAAGATCAAAGTCAACACAATTGAAGAAGGGTGGATAACTGTTTAATGTTACTTTCCATATTGTAAGAGATGTGAACGGTCTCGTCACGTATAGGAGGGGTTCAAACACTATCGAGTCCAGGTTGTTGTTAACCTATTTAATCAAACAATTATCTTAGACTATTTTTTAATATCAGGATGTTGATGATGGTATATATTGCTGCATCTTCTACCTCATTTCACTGGGAAGCTGCAACACTACAAGATGTTTCGATTCGCTGCACTCATAGCTGTAAGTATAGGCATTCATACTTTTTGATTTTGAAAATAACAAGGGTGACAATGAGGAGTAAATTTATCTGGTTTGCTTGTGGATTGTTTCGTATGGCAGAGTTATTGAGGTTAGGAATTAATCTATCTATCGTGTTTTCCATATGGCACAGCTATCAAGGCAGTTGCCCGAAAACCTGAATTGAGGAACAAGATTGTGATTTTAAATTAAGTTAAGTTAAATAACTCATCTGGAGTTACCAGCACTTATCATCCATTCCCTTTACCTTATGGGAACTGCACATGTTGTGACCTTTAGAATGACAGATCAGGCAGTTGATTTTTTTTTTACTTTGTATTTCTCACGTAGTTTTATATATTAAAATAGAATGAAATAATGTAGCTGTTTTTAAATGTCTGTAAGTGATAGAGTCTGTTTTTCTTTCAGATATTCCTAACGTTTAGTGACGTTCTGGCAACACATGAATACTACCCATGTTCTGTAAGTAATTATTTTTTCTTTATAGTAGTGATTGTAATGACATAGATCAGAGTAACAGGCAATTTGAATCATACTTATATTGGGGTCTACAGTATAGGAGGCCATTTGTTATAAAGAAATTTAGAAAAATACATTTTAATTCAGTTAATGATTTTTATTATTATCTTTAAATTTTTAGTTTGTCTGTAAATTCTAAGTTCATTCCGTGATTTGATAGTTCGGTCTGTAAATTGATAGTTCATTCTATGCATTGATAGTTCAGTTTGTAATTTGATAGTTCAGTTTGTAAATTGATAGTTCACTCTGTAATTTATAGTTCCACTGTAAATTATCAGTTCACCTGATCTTGGTTATAGCGATTTTTAAACGCAGGGTGAATATACCAACTAAAAGTTACCAAATTCGCCAGTCTTTCGGCTCTTCCACCATCAATTTCGTGACCTCACTACTGCTGACAATACTTATTATATTAAAGTACGATTTTATAACTTCGAACATCATTTCCTAGAGCAAAATAACAGACTTAAAATTATATGATAGTATGTTAGGAAGTAGTATAGTCAATGTTTAAGTATCATTCTAGACATACATCATAAAAGATAGATCGCATTAAAAGGATTTATGTAACGTGATTTCTCGGTCTTTAAACATGGTTTAACTCTAAATTTAAATCTGTCTGCAAATCATTTACAAATTTACAAATCACGATAAAATGTTTTAAGGTTGTTTTGAAGCTATTTAGATCTGAATTTGCTTTAGGGTACTCTTTTATAATGCGTCTCGAATTGGTTGATAATGACTCTTATTAGCATTCTATCGGAAGCTATAAGTATTATACAACTCAAGGGTTTGAACTTGATACAGGAAGTTCAAACGTGGATCTATAAATGTTAAGGAAATTATCATTAATTTTAGGCTACTTCAAGTCTGTATAACGAATAAAATCATTTAATTTCATGCTTAGGGATGAACAACATTGTTCATTGATCATTCATTACCACATGTATTGGAGAATGTTTGATGCTGTAATCTTGAAAATTATGTTGAAATGAGAAACAGAATACACAAAAAGATGATTAAGAATTAAGAAAGACATAAAAGATAATTTTATATGTAAAAACGAAAAGAATCGTTGAATGTTCATTTCTTTTTAATAAAACCACTCAGATATTTGGCTTTGAAAACAAATGTGAAACTTGAAATATTTATTTTACCTCAGAGAATGCCTACATAATTCTGATCTTGCATTCAAATGTTGCTGCAATCAAAGAAAAGAAGACCGCCGATCTTTCGATACATTTAAGGCAATTTAATTAAAATTATACAAATCTATCGTTCCGTTCTTTTTATTAGCTTTTCTTTCTAATATATATTACGTTTAAAAGCTAATAAAGAAACGAAACGAAAGTTTGTCCCAATTGTAAATAGACTACATAAAAGATATAAGCACTATTCTAAACAAGGTAACTTAGATAAAATTTGATTCCAACGTTACAGTTGCCCCGTGGCTTGCTTATAAATTAAGTTTGTACATTTTTTCAGTCAAATTCATGTAGACAGAATACAAATTGCCGAGTGTCAAAGAGGGTTGATTGTGTAACAAGAGCGTGTAAACCTCAGGTAGCCTGTGTAGGTCTGTATATATTATTTTATTATCATTTGTTATGAAACAGTGTACATATGATATATTCAAATATCAAACACGTAATAAGAAGTATCACAGAATGAAGATACTGGAAAAGAAAGAAAATTTCTAACCATTTCTGCAGCACATAATGTGACAGGCCATCAGAAGCTGCTGAAGGCCCAATAACTAAATACATGTGACTATCATTGATTAGATGCTGAAGTAACGCTTGTAAATGTTTTGTATGCTTCAGCATAGGGTCAAAAGCTGTCTCCAATAAAATCGATTTATACTACCAAAAATTCTACATAAACTATTATTAACATGAAAAACTACCAAATTAGCTATAATTCCCACAAATTACATTCGAAATTTGATCGTAAGTGTAAACAGTCAAATTTGTTTTTACTTATGATAGATTTTGTTTGTAAAAACAACGTTTGCCCAAGTGGAGAGCCCGTGTTAGATAGAGATTGTAAAACCGAATTAAGATGTTCACCGGGAGCATACAACCAGTGTCCTGATTATACTGAATGCATCAATGGTTTCTGTTGCTGGACGGGGAAGTTAACTAGTAAGTATTAATGATACAGATGAATTTGATATCTTCAATTAATAGATAGTTTATATTTCAAATTAGAAAGGAATTAGATTTAAGCCATGTAAATTGAGCGCCATGCTTATTTCCATATCCATTACTTTATCCAGATTACAAGATTAATGGTACAAAATCATTATGTTTCTGTGAACATTCTACATGGAAACACCCCGTGCTCTGTCTAACTAGTTCAGTCTATCGAGCCGAGAGGGTAATCTAATAAGATAACTACGATGAGTCCTAGTCAGATTGTCAATAAAGCAAAGGATGTATTACGCACCCATTTCTGCATAATCCATGCTTGTAGGCAATCGCTCTCTGGCGTCGAAATATTGTGGCCTTTAATGAAATATTATTTGTGCACATAAATTTCAGTAATACATGTACCTGTAATCAAAGCTCAGAAGTGCTGCAGTAGTGGATGTGGTCCTGTTTGCAACAATCCCGTTGTACACAAACCTGGAACCTGTCCAGCATCAATTAACACAAGATCGTGTATTTCAACTTCAACGTGTACTACGGACAGCCAGTGTTCCGGTTCTCAGAAATGCTGTTATAATGGCTGTGGAAGCTCCTGCTCTATTACAGTTGAAGATAGCATTAAAGCCGGAACGTGTCCAGTACCATTCGCCACAGGACCCTGTGTATCAACATGCTCATCAGATAGCCAATGCACTGGTTCTCAAAAATGCTGTTCAAACGGATGTGGAAGGTCATGTGTTTCCACAGTTGAAGATTGCTTGAAGCCTGGATCTTGTCCAGCTAGACCTACAAGTAGCTCTTGTGGCAAACGCTGTTCAACAGATCAAGATTGTCGTGGTCAACAAAAATGTTGCAGAAGTGGATGTGGCCAAGTCTGTCAAGGTGCCGTATTTCCTAAAGCAGGAACCTGTCCTGCTAATAAAAATATTGGCCATGTTGGATCATGTAGACACGATTGCTTTCAAGATGCTGATTGTGCTGGTAATAAGAAATGCTGTTCACGAGGATGCAGTCGCCAATGTTTGAATACCATTGAAACACCACGTCCTGGTACATGTCCTCATACATCTCAAAAGACTCAATTTTCCATTTGCTCACAACCATGTAGGTATGATGGGGAGTGTCCTGCTAATAAGAAATGCTGTTCAAGTGGTTGTGGTAAATCATGTGTCAGTATTTACACCGAAAAACCTGGTCAATGTCCTGCCAATAAAGGTCCATTCGATGCAGTTTGTGTCAACAGATGTACTGATGATGCTTCATGTCCTGGTTCCCAAAAATGTTGTGCTTGTGGTTGCGGTCGGGAATGTCGACCCATTGCACGCAGACTGTCAGCCTGTTCTACCAGCTTCTATTCGTATTTCTGCTTCTTCCAAGGACATTGTGAAGACGACTCTGATTGTGGACACGGAAAAACCTGTTGCGAATCAAACGGATGTGGTAAAATATGCGGAGGTAGATTTCAAGGTGGTAGCTCCTATAATCAAGGTGGTAGCCCCTATAATGGTAGCCCCTATAATCAAGGCTATAAGTATAATCAAGGTGGTAGCCGCTATAATCAAGGTGGTAGCCCCTTTAATCTATTTGGATCATACTCTGGCGGCAATAATCACTATAAACCTTCCCGATGTTCTTGGTGGAAATTTATTTATGGCCAATGCAATCACTAAAGCCTTAATATTTTACAAATAAAAGTCTAATCAAATCAGTTTAGTTCAGTTATATTAACCCAGTTAATTCATTTTTTAAAGATTTCATATACTCAAGCGTATAATGTTTATTATATGTATATCGAAATTATATCATTCAGTAGTGGAGCGAGGTTTATGACCGAGGGGGACGAAATACCTGAGGTTGCCCGAATTTCTATCCAAGCTATGATATTTTTGCCCGAAGAACATGCTTTGGGGGCTCCGAGGGGAGGGGGTGACCCCTCTGCCCCGCCCCCTTTGGCTCTGCCACTGATAACATTGCCCAAATCAAGACAGAACAAAAACAATTCACTTTTGCAACATTTTGCCATTACAAATGCTTCCTTCGTTTTATCATTGACCATTCTTAAAACAGATCTGATATCTAGCACCTTAAAAGTTGATTTTCATTATCTTAATAAATCACATTACTTGTCAATCTTATCTATTAGCCTATAGGAACCAGAATTCTCATTTACATACAGTTATAGTTTTATCATTAGGTGATAGGTCGTGACAGGAATTTATTTTTAAACTATTACCATCTTTTACCTCTCAATATCTGGTTTATTTCATTCCACTTGGTCTATCACAAATTACCACAATCAACCTTCTCCATGGGACGCTATTTACAAAGTAGATATTTGCCTCCAAATTCTTATTAACAACCATTAACTATTCCTGGAATGAAATTGTTGGATGCATTTCAATAACAATCTCTTCCTGCTACACGTCAGGGTTTTTAATATGAAGCTGATGTACACATTTTCATATACCGTTGTACAATGTGCAATAAGAGCGCAATTTACTTATTGTCTTTGCTTATTCTTGGGTTTTGTTTGTACTGTGGTACCAATGAAATTTGACAATTTCAGGTGTTCTGTTTTCATTATTAGTGTGCATTACTTTTCTGATAAAGATTCCACTATGGCTTGGCTATAAGCTATCCAAGATTCGATATATGGTTCACCAAATTCAACAAAAGTGACCGTGAAAGTTAAAACTTTCGTTCTGGTACGAACTATGTTGTCGTGTTATCGGAAATGTATATCTGAGATTCTTAAAGTCTGAAAAATGGAAAAGAAATTGAGTTCAAGTAACTGTTCTGTTTTTTTGGAATACATGCCTTTAGAGTTACTTGAAATAACGCAATATGTCGACTTGCACTGACAAAAGAACGCAAGAAGATAAGCATACTGCAGTCCTGTATAATGCGTCTAGAGAAATGTTAACAAAAGCATTGAAAGGTCTATCAAGATCATGGCAATGTGGTGGATCATTGGCGAGAATAATTCCAGGCGTGGATTGCCTGAACAGCATTTTTTGTTAATTTTAGTTGAATGCAAAAGAATCCTTAATACGATTCAAACAAGCGTTTACAGATCTGATAAATATTTCCACAAGTTTATTCACGATAGTATATGTTGTAATTCTGTTACCTGTTAAGAAAAGAAACGAAATCTGTTGACAGAGGTGAAGGAATCATCTCAAAAACAAATTCCAGACAAAAACAAAAACCTCAAAAAACGCAGAATTTAAATTTGTTGAAAGTTTATGCATAAATCCATCATCTATTTATAATGTTATTAATGTTATCGCATGTGTTTTTCCCCTTTTACTACTAAACTTTTTACTTTGTGAAGTAAGACAAATAGTGTTTTCTTATCTCTGAACGTTTATCAAGCTTCCAATCATCTCTTCTGTACTCTTTATACAGCGAAACATATAACAATTCTGTACCATCATGGATATACATGTACTGAGAAATGTATTTAATCTTCCAGCACTATGTAATCTTATGTTGTAACCATTTTTATCTATGATTAATGAAAACTATAGTTAATACCGTCGCGTCGGAACACATTCCAGTTAAATCTTTGATTTCAGACGTCTGAAGCGCGGATATCATCTCCATCAAGCATAGAAGATCAAATAGATGAATCTTAATGGTTAATTGAGATCAATATTAGTAATCCTAGACAATGTGAGTTCACTCATAGAGCAAAGTTTACACTTTAATTCAACCCAACCAGACAAATGATCCAAATCGCATTAACCCTTCCGCTTCGAAATCGCCAACATACCTTTTCATGCTAATAAAATTATCTGCTCATGGGACTTCACTTAAGGTTACGAGAAAGGAAAATCTACTCTTCAGGAATCTTTAATAGAAGTTCATTTGACCAGAGATTCACTCAGTCGCTTAATCGATTAAAAAATCAAAGCTGATCATTAAAGTTTATAAGAAATATATTAATCGGTTGATCGTCTACCATTAAGGATTATCAACAATAACATTTGAAATACGATTCTGAGGCTTTGAAATTTGACTTTCCATGCAGGGTACTAGTAAATAAACTCAAACAAAACATAAAACTAGCTTTGTATTCAGAAAGTCGTAAAAAAGTACCAAAAACGATTTATAACCGTATTCTAACGGTGTAGGAACTGATAATTTGTATTGGAAAATTTCATTCAATTTTGCTGGAATGAATGTGAGATCGGCAACTCAGGAAATGAAATGAAATGAAATGCCCCCGCCCCGTCGCTACGCAATTGATTGTGTTGACTGACACTATTTCATGAACTTCCCAAGTCCCAAGAAATCTTTCGTCTAGAAAATGGATCAAAAACTGATGCAGACAGGAAGAATATAAACAAGTTAACCTCTGTCAAACAACTAAACCTTTCTTAAATTTTTACCCAAGGCGCATTCGATAAACCACTAAACAAGACTCCTTATCAGCAATCAAAGAGAGCCATCGCTGTAGCTCTTAAATTAACTAGTCTTATTGCATATCTAAGAGTATGCATTTTTTCAGTCGTAGTACGTCTAGATCATAATATGTCAAATAAAGTAGGATAAAAAGTAATATAATTCAATTATTTAAGATAAGATATTATCTGTGTATGATATGTTAAGATATCAATGTCAAGAATATAGCTGAAATCAAAGCAACATAATTACATAACAAGAATCAATGTCTTGCTGTTGTATCTTGAAAATGTTTCTGAATGACAGCGCTAAAGTCCAATAAAATAACACAATTTTAGGAATGTTTTTACCTAAAACTTAAACGATCCCTGCTGATGTCAAGTACAAACTATTATTATAAAATCGGAAGAAATGTTCGAAGTAAAATGAATTATTAAATATTAGAACAAAATAGTAACAATTTTTAGAAATACATTAATTTTAACCTAGATTTTAACTCAAACATCTGTGATTTAAAGGGTTTAATTACATTATAATAAAATCTAACCTTTCATTATGGCAAATAATGTTTACAATGACTGGCGTAAAGTAACTAAAACAATTTAGACAATAATTGTTTGCACTTTTATAGTAGTGCTTTAGTAATAGTACTCTTCTCGAACATCCGAGACGTCACTATCGCAGTATCCACAAACTTAACAAAAAATTATGGTATGTCAAAGCTTTTGAAGGGCATATTGCTAATAGTTAAAAAGCCATGGTTCGCCATTTTAAGGGGTTGATATAGGTCTTGAATAGTACTAGAACTAAACTAGATCGCACAATCCCACAAGGTAGAAATTTCTATTTCTATATACATGTATTCTCTTTTATATACATAGCATAGTATATACTTGGTGGAGTATCAAGAGAAGACGAGTCGTCATTTTAATCTTCATACGCAGACTTTTCTGTACACACATGGATTTGAAGGATCATATTTTGATGGTGAGCTGTGAACACTGTTGTTGATAAGCTCGGCATGAAAATCCCGTGTCTGAGACTAGGGTACGATTTTCCAAACGGCTGGCGACGTGTCCCTTTAACTTCAGTATAGAGTCACTGGCCGAAATGGTTCAGTTGTCTGAAGATCACACATTAAGATTGATTACTAACAAATTTCAGGTGGTGTTTTAATAATTCTAAAGTTACTAGTATGAGAATGATAAGACTATTTGTGTCGAATATTCAGGGTAATGTAGTTGTATTTGGACAGTACTAGGGAATTTTATCATCGCGGGGCTAAATTTTAGTCTATTTACATTGTAATTATGTGAAGTAAATTAATTCCGGTAGATAGTGACTGAAAGGAAATATAATCTGAAGAATTATCCACAGAATAATAGAGTTAAATGATTATTAATGTTATTACAATGAAACTTTTCACACGGAGATGATTGGCGAGTAGCCGTATACGACTAATTGGCTCTAAATTAATCTTGTATAGTTTAAATCTATCAGGAAATCATTGTACAAATTGTATGTAAATATTGTTTAGAACCAAATTACAGTAGAAACATGAGAAGAACAAGTTCTATTCCATCCCATATTAGAACATCATTAACGTTACTAATTTGATATGCACGACATGTAACAGACATTCAGCCGGAAAAGTATTAAATTTTATGTGGAAACTAAGAACGTTGGAAATGTGGTGTCTATGGACCAAAGTCCCAAAAAATAAATAGTGATAAACGTCCAACGTTTCTGCACATGGGTGGGCTAATGAAACGTGCAACTCCATACAGTGTACAGTGAGTGAAACTGTGCCAGGACAGCACAGTTAGTTCTATTAGTCTACTCTTTTCAATTTCCATCTGTCCGAGGATCTCTGACGCACACATCCTAACCTGAAGCTCATGGG